GAGAACTCACGTGAATTTGCCAGCTTTGTCTAAGTTTTAGGGGATTTCACCTAGGATGAGACCCTAGATCCCAAAACGTCGTCAACACTTTATTTTTTACTAATCGTGAGGGAAATTGTCCGCAACAATTCCCTGAACATGAACCTCCCTGAACATGAACCTCCAGTTAACACTCAATGCTATAACATAAAACGACTACCTCCATGTACTCTTAATTTAACTTTGGGTGATTCTGTGTTAGTTTGTGAAATGAATAAAGTAACTTTGTTCATCCTGAACGACCGGAACATTTCATGCACATTGCAAGGAATAAATTATGACCTGCTTTGAAAAATACTTATTATAATGGTTCTTAGAATAAAATAAAATAAACTTTTGCTTTTAAGATATTTTATAGGGTATCATTATTGAGTTTTTTACAAAACTGAGTAGATTAGTAGGAAGTTAAGAGTATAAGTTAATTACCAATAGTGGAAAATTTATTAAATGGATGAAAAAGTACTTTTAGCGAATTTCCCTATAGGGAAGTAGCTATTACCGTAGGTGGCACGGTAAGACCTAGACCCGGGACCGATTTACTTTTTCATTTTGATGTCCCCAGAGGCCAAAAACACCATTTGTTCAAATTTTTATATATGTATATATATATATATATATATATATATATATATATATATATATATATATACGTCCGTGAACGCGATAACTTGAGTTATTTTTGTCCGATTTTGATGAAATTTGGTTTAAAGGTGTAAAGCGGGATAAACTTGAATGAGTTCGCGAACCAGCACGATCGGACCATGAGAACGGGGCTTTACGGGGGGTTTTATGGGGTAAAAATTGGTTTTTCTCACATTTGACCCTCAAAACACAAAGTTTTCCGATTTCTCTTTAGACCTTTTTAAAGAGCTTAAAAAAACAAATAATTTAGTATATCAAAGTGTTTTTGTACGGTTATTGGTAACGTAGAAAATTAAAAAAAGGGTAAATGAAAAATTCCCATGTTATTCTTATGGAGAATATTGAAAATGTTGTAGTTTGTTTGTTTATGGATATATTTTGATCAAATTTGGCAAATTTATTTATTTTATACTAAGCTATTAGTATTTTACTAAAACAAACTTTATTAGTTTTAGTTTCCTTGTGGCAGCAATTTAATTGAAAATCATTCAGATGGAAATTCGCTTAGTCGGCAGGTTTGCTGCGGCGGGGGTATTTTCATCAAAATCGCATTATAATAAATGTAACTCTGAAAATTGCATTGCATAATCAAATACAATAACGGTACTAAAATCGATGATAATACTTCATGTTAAGCCTACCTAATGATAGGGACAAACCCTGTCAGGTTGAAAACCTTACAACTCATCTATCTTTTTTACTTGGAAGTCTTTCTAAAGAGATTACTACAAATGATGATTTTATTACGGTTTGTTTGTCAGATATCTATGTTACACACGTCATGCCTAACGGTAGGGTAGTTATTAATGCATTAAACAAAAGACACTGTTATCCCACTAGTTCACTGGATTGAAAAACATTTCCTTTTTCGTCGTAGCTTATTAAAACTACGTCGAAACTTTTTTCTTGTAGTAAAACAGAATTAGCCAATTCTTATGTTTGAAATACGTTTTTAACTCTGATCTTTTTTAATTAGATGTTTATTAAATACATAAGTAATTGCATTTTCGTAATGTATTTTCACAAACAGTCAATATTAACCATGCTTTATTCTTAAAATGAACTATTTTGAAAAGGGGCATCTCAACCTCGGGTAAAACTTGGCGCATATAAACACACTCTAGGGAACGATTTCTCATTTTATGAGGTTATTTAACACCATTGCGTGCCGAACTTGGGCATAATATCACTACAACTGGGAAATTGTAGTGACAAACGTGTATTAAAGGGACGTATTATATTGTGATTTCCAAAAATATATAATTTTTAATAATATAAAGGTAATATAAAGATATAGTCTTTATGCTATAACCTGTCACCTAAGTCATGACCCTCCGTGTACAAGGGGACTGCCCAAGGGTTGAAGTCCTGTACAACTATTGCATATTCAGGCTTATAAAGTTAAAACAATCGAATTCGTTTGAGAAATTTCGGAGTACCTAATCCATAATAATAATTACGAGGTGTTAGCCCGTCCTACGTACGGTAATTCAGTAGTCAGTTAAAACCGTGTACAATTCAGATCAGCTAGTTTACACATATAAAGACAAAGTTTCTTGCAGTTTTAATGTGAAAAATCATCTTGTAAACAAATGTTGTGTGACCAAATATTTTTTTATTCCATCATAGGCCTATACGATATGCATTTTAAATCCGATAATTTTACAATAAAACAGCAATTCTGCAATTTTTACGATGTGAAAAGCGCTGAAGTGAGATTTGCAGCCGATTCGCACAGACGCACACTGATTATAAGTAGGCCTACAGTAGAGAGAGTAATAGTCAATTGAGAAGTATGGTATAGAGTATAGACCTGGTCAACGATCCACCTTCCATAGCATATCTGCCTCTTCCATAATTATTATCACCACAATACAACTACTATACACAATTTCCAGTACGTCTGAATGAAACGACCTAAAATAAAACGATAATATCCAATACAATTCACAGTACACATAATTTAACTTTGGTGTCTTAACATCAAAAGTAATCGTCACACCTATCTTTTATATCAATTTCACTGCATTAATTGCTAAATAAATAAGTGTAAACAAAGAAAAGTAAAAACAATAACAGTTTGTTTTGAAACAGCTGTTTGGTTCAAGTAACATTCATTTGAAAAAAAGAACTGGTCACATGTAGCAGGAATATAAAAAGTAAACACGCTAGTAAAGCTAATGACGTAATTGTCAATGTTTATTATCCATACCGTTATCAGTTATATCCTTAATAATTACCCACCCTCATTGAATAAGTGTACATCGTAATTTCCCATATTAGTTAATTTAAACTACAATATATTCATAGTTGAAATAAAAGTGATATTTTCACGTTTGGGGGCGCTGATAGGCACCACCAAACGTAACCACACTGAACACGATTTCATAAAAGGATGGTTTGTCTAATTGCAGTATCCTAGGTCAATGTTGACGTTGTGTTCAATCTATGTCATCCATCTGTTTATCTTTGTATAAAACCCGGCTGAGGTTGTGGTGGTAATTTAAAATCGTGATTCCTGATTATTCTTGATCTTCTTTTTATGACATCAATATTTCCGGGCCTAATCCAAACAAAGTTAAAGCAGACAAACATTAATTGTAAACAAAAAGCTACCATGAAGAATTAAAACATGTAAACATTGTTATTTTTCTATTCTTTCCTCGAAAAGTGGAATAGTAAAATAATTTACATTTATCCTTTTTTATTAAGACTCGTGTTCAGAGCCTCGATTTGTTCTCTGGTTTAATTAATTTTGGTCTAAACTATTTTAAACTGTGGTCTAATTATCTCTACTAATCTTACTTATTTCCTATAATTAATGACAAAATAAGAGTAAATAAAATAACCTCATAGTTCCATAGTTAATATTTAACCAGCTGTTAGTTAAAACAAATTATATTGCTCTAAAACAAATCGAGGATTACAAAGATTGCTTTAAAAAAATAATTTTAACATCCTAGTATTTTACTGTGTATAATTTAATTAATATGTCATCCTCTTACAGAAGAATTGAACGTATCAATGATTTGCATTACACATAGTATAAATAAGTCAACCCTAAGTATTACTTTATATTTTTATCCAAATGCTGAATTTGTGACCCAAAACCTGAATGTTCACAGCTGTTATGTTAAGCAAATTATTTTATGCCAAAAGCTAGTTTAGAATCTTAGCGTCGGCTGCTAGACTTTTTAAAAACTAAAACTTAATTTCTAAAAAACTGGGACCCTAAACTAAATTTATGGCTTCGACATTCCCTAGTTCTCAAAATTATCTTTCTTTCAACACAAAAATCATGAAAATCCGTCGAGTGGTTGATTCAGAATCGTGAAATAAAAAAACACTGTTTCGTTTTAATATTATAGATTATAGTAGGTAAGGTAAAATGGTATTGTAATACATACAACTTACTCAACTTAACATTAATTAGAACAGTGTCAAACTCTAAAACTCTTGTGAATTGCCCATTATTCAAACTAATTACTTATGTAAAAATTGTAAAAAGTTAAAAATTATTAAAATTATTCGTTGGGGCCCTTCATCCCTACTAAGTTCACTAAGTCTATTTTCAATAACACAGGCTGGATTGCATCGATTTTAAGAAAGAAAAATGAATTTCATAAGTAGGCTAGTTTCATTTATCATGTACGTATCTTGAGTTATGGATGAACTATAGGGGCAACAATAAAAACTCTAGTTTATTAGCGCACTTCAGAACAACAGAGTTTCGAAAGCACATTTTTGATTATACCACCGCCATTTAGGAGCAAAAGGACAGACGTTTATGAGATAGGTAGATATTTGAATAGAATTAAAACATATTTCAGTAATAAAAGTGATTCTTTAAATGTTAGAACAAAACTGTATTTTTATTATCATAGAAAAATGTAAACATAAACATTTTACAGATGTTTCAGATAATTGTTAATATTATAAATTAGAAGCCAGGTATAATTAAAATATATTACAGTCTTCCCCTCTAAAAAGAGAACAACAGGTTGAAGTCTTGGTGTAGAAAACTCATAACTGATACTTGTGTGGTGTAGGCAATTGGCTTCAGTTGTTTTTTCTTCTTTTTTTCGCTGGAGCAGGTGTATAGCTGTGTATGTAATAGCTTACTGGAGTCGTTGAATAGTAGTAGGTTTTGTCTGGAACTGGAGTAGAGTATTCAAAATGACCAGGAGCGGGAGTTAAATACTGAACAGGAGGGAAATCAACTAGGGGTTTTAGAATTGACGTGGTCGATTTGTAGCCGTCGGAAACTGCTGTTGGAGCTGGAATGGAATACTCGTAGCTCACTGTCGGGGGAGAAGAAGTTAATTACACATTGGCTTAAATGGTTTTACCGGGGCAGGAGGTACATATTCATAGCTAACTGCAGGCACTGTTGTTGAATACTTAGTCTTCAGTGGAGTTGGAGTAGAATGTTCAGAGTATGGGGGGGCAAAAGTCATGTACTGGACTGGTTTCAGTGGTACCATCGGTGTTTTTAGAACTGTCGGCACTACAGGTTTCACAGCTGGGTAAGAGTACTCGTAACAGACAGCCGAGGCGGGTGGTATGTAAGTTACAGGTCTCAATGGCATTTTGTGGGTTATTAGTTGAACTGGAACTGCAGAGTAGCCGTAGCTCACAAGTTTGGCAGAGGGTGGTGGAGGTGGCAGGGAGCATGTTAAAGCAGGCTTCACTGATGGAGGAGCTAGGGTGGAAGTGGATACTGTAGTTGAGAATCTAAGGGAATTGTCAGTTTTTGCAACCAATCTCGACCAAGTAATGGATTAATAATAATGTCAACTACAAACAAGTTCCGGTTTGTAGATTTGTTGTTGTACCATACCTCAACTTTGGCGACACCCAAAGGTTTAAAGATTTCACCGGTAACTGTTTTAAATGATGTTGATGTTGGCTGAAGAGTTCTGTTAGAGTAAACTTTTTGAAGGTCTTTGTTATTGATTATAGTTACTGGACTCCCAGTGTCGATTTCAAAGGTAAGCTTACCTTTTCAATGTTCAGTGTTGTCGTGAATTTTTCCGTTGGTGAAGTAGTGGAGGTAATACAGACAGGAACGATTCTTCCAATAGAAAACTTATCGTGTTCTATGTCTTCTTGAATTATGGTATTTACCTTGCGATGACTTGATTTTGTTAAGGTTGATATGCAAACTTTTAAGATATGACCATGGTTATGGCATAAACTACAAAGTAAGGTGTTAATGTCCCTGTCGCACGACTTTGCCATGTGGTTACTCTCACCACAACGCACACATAGTCCTGCAATTCCAAGGCGCTCATAAAACTTCTTACGATTATTTTGACTTTGTTTTGCTGATGTGTTATCACAATCATAGTTTTTTGTACGAAAAACTCTAGAAACTTTATTCATTGAATCAGTTCCATGAAATGTTTTGCAACCTTTTTTTGATGCTTCAAGAGTCAGAGCCTGTTCATACGAACCTTCAAAAGTCAATTCTGGATGCTGAAGAATCTTTTCACTGATTGTTTCATCTCGTAATCCTCGAATGAATTGTGCACGTAAAAACAAATCGATCACTGAAGATTCACAAGAAGGACGGTTGAAGTTGCATGTGAATGTAAGTCTTCTTAGTGCAGCTACAAATTTAGATATGGACTCTGTCGGACTTTGAACACGTGATAGAAAAGTAGGGCCTATGTTGTTGCACAAAAACATTGGGTTTTGGACATAAATGTTTTTCAGCTATTTTAATCAATTCGTCGTAGCTTTTGTTTGGTGGTAGGTCTGGAGATACAAGACTACCTAGTAGTTGATAATGTTTTGGTCCAATACAATTGATCAATATTCTTGCTTTGATTTGTTGTACTTCATCTTCGTTTCCTGTAATGTTTTTCAAACGAAAGTAATTTTCAAGTCGTTGTCTATATGAATTGAAATCTTTAAGATCTTCATCAAATGAATCGAAATTGAATTATGTGATTCCGTTCTGGGGTGTTGAAGGTTTAAATTCTGTGCATGGGTTTGTGTGATTTCATTAATCTTGTTCAAAAGTATAGCCTGTTGTTGAACAAACGTTGATAAAATTGTTGAAAGGTCTTCAGTCATGATAGTATGTTAGTTTCCGTGTGTATGTTTATCCTGTAGAAAAGTGTATGAGTCATTAAAAATTCCGTCCTCGTCGCCACTAAAACTTCTTTCAGTAACAAAAGTGATTCTTTAAATGTTAGAACAAAACTGTATTTTTACTATCATAGAAAAATGTAAACATAAACATTTTACAGATGTTTCAGATAATTGTTAATATTATAAATTATAAGCCAGGTATAATTGAAATATATTACAAGAATACTATAACAAATCTCAGCACAAAATTGTCTGAAAAATGCACAAAATAAAAATATCTGACACAAACACCACGGGTCTAGTGAACCATTTAGGATCGCACAACCCAAAATATCACAAGACCAATCAGTTTAAACAGGAAAGGAACGGTTTGTGCTTAACGAAGGAGACAGAGGCGGAATTGGATTAGGATGCAAAACACGAAGCAACAAGACAAAGCCATGTTGTGAGCGAACTGCGAACATTGTCACAGACAAATGACGAGCAGTCGTGCGTGGCGAGGGCAGGGCCTACTAGGTCGTGCAATTATTGCGCCAAAGAGTTCCTTAATTGCGCCAAGCCATCAAAGGGTCCCAAAAATGTTCCTCAGTTGCGCCAAGCCCAATCCCTGGTAAGGGTGAGTTGCCGGCAGAAGGAATACTGTAACCTTGTTTAGTGTCATCCTAAACTATCCTAACCTAACCTAACTACTAACTTAACATAACCTTACTTACTTAATTATACAGTCAAAGAGGGCTGCCACTTGCGGCCCAGTTGACGAACTTGTCGGGAGTTATCGGGTTGTACCCTGGAGTAGTTTGCGCAATTCAGGAATACCCGACTACCTGACTCAGGTCAGTTGGCGCAATTAATGCCCAACCACAAGGCCTACCAGACAAACTATGAGATTCTACAGCCACTCCGGTCATTATGTAGTTTGATTGATTCAAATACCCTTATGCATCTGGAATTAAAGGTGTCGCCACCATAATGCGTTTAAGGTTAACATCTGCAAAGCCATGCTTATCAGACTAAAATTGACCTTTATGTAGTCGATTTGTGTGTTTCCCCAAATTTTACGGGGTTATAGAAAAACCTTTCAAACCTGTTGTAATTCGATATAAATAAAGCTAGCCGCTGTCACCGTCTTGAATGTGAAATCCGATGAGTTCATGCGATACGAATAAACGTGTTTCACTATTATGACTACCTATTGTTAAATTGAATAAAACTTGTTAAGCCCCTGATAAAACAAAAAAAAAACATGCAATAACAACAAAACTATAGAACCGTTGACATGATACAGGAAATCGCAGGTCCATGGGGAATATCTATCCTCTTTGTGTTAATGTCTAGTAACTAAAATTCGACTACATTCCAGTATCAGATTTCAACGATTTTACTACCAATTTAAAGAGTTTAAAGTGAAGTTTCGCCAAAAATTAATGATGAATGAAGACACAACTTCACAATTAATTGTCGTGTAACACACATTGAACACTATCGAATTAGGATCCAAAGGCTAATTAATTAAAAGTTTTAGTCAAACACGTTAGGTTAGTAGTTTGTTTTTAAATGTAAGTGCTTTTCCACGACTGTAAGAAAAACAATGTAGAGAGTAGATTGTTCCACATATAGGCTTACGCTAGAGCAACACATAGGCTATACATTTAGACGCTGAGAATATTCAAGAAATAATTTTAACTTTTCGATATCCTAATGAAGAGATTTTACCGATCGTAGTGGGGTGGCTACCGTGATACCAGCCACACTTGACTGCACACTAGTCTCGCCCATTACTTTGCTGGCCCAATATATATGCAAATACCTCCGTTCGTCTCCGTTAACCCGTTAAATGTATTCTCCGTGCTTACAAACTTACGTCCCGCTTATAAACATGGTCGTCTTCAATCATTTCGTCATCGAACTCCAGATTTATAGTACAGAACTAAGATTAAAACGCACCTTCTTCAAAACAAAATCGATCTTCGATTTGAAACAAAGCAATTTAACTGGCGACCATTTCACATCAGCAGGAGCGAATGCAAACCCCAAAACACGTAATTGATTATTTATTTGACTTTTTCGACATAATCGTCAACTGATTACACAATACAAGGCCGTGCACGGGTTGTGATTCATTTATACACCGGGCTATATGATAAGCAGATCCTATACAGGGTGATTGGCCAGTGCCAGACATCTCGTAACCAGGGCTGAAGAGGACTTTCACAGTGACGGGGTCAAGGGCCCGCAGCTCTTCAAACATGGTCCGACTTGTTGAAACTTGCATTTTTCCGATGTTTCAGCTGAAAATAAAGTAGGGAAAGATTGAAAAAACGGAGACTTGTGTACCTTTTGCGACCAAAATCCTTGGACGGGATTGAGAAGAAAATGAAGCCAGGTAAAGTTTACAGATTTGACAGAAGTTCAATTTCATATATTGTATTCTTCTGGTATAATCCTCCTATCATAATCCGTATCTTGAACTCAAGCTATCTAACACATAAACAAAGGACGACACAGCAGGCGTACTTCAAATACCGTACATCGAAATGCGAAATAAAAACCAATTGGAGATAAATACAACTAAGCCATATACAGGGTATCTTGCAACCATATGAACAAACTTTAGTCACGCATGTCAAAAGAAACAAAAAATATAATATAACATGTGTCCCATCTCATTCCGTTTTCGGTATGTCTGTCTGTATGTGATTTTTACAAAAACATTCACAACTCCTTAGTATGGTAACTGTTTGAGCTACAGCGTGTAGATACTGTAAAAATGTTTAGAGTATAATATTGATCGCTTGTGCAAAATATTAATAAAAACTTTATGACAGTTTTTCAGTTATTCTTTTTAGAACTAAGCTTATAAGATATCGTTGTAGGCTAATCTGCATGAAATCCACTTAATTGTCTTGCAAAATGTTGTCAAATTCAAGTTCAAGAGTATTTATTCATATTTTGTACAAACATACTGGTCAATTAGATAAATATTAGTACAGAATGACAATGCTGTAGCTCAAACAATTAAGGAGTTATGAATGTTTTATTTAAAACTAGAAGAGTACCCGTCCTTCGTACGGGGTTGGAATATAAGTATAAAATGCTTATTGCAGTTATACTCAAGCTTTGCGTTTGCAATAAGGGAGGACACAGTTTGATAAAATTTGCTTTTTTAAATTTACAGTATTCTATAGTATGACACATCTACCATAGCCATAATGTTCAACCACTTCACCTAAACAATAGAGAAAAAAATTATCAACAATTCGCAAAATATCACAAATTATTCATGAAATGAAAAACATAAACATAACTGTAAACAATCCTACTTTGACAGTTCTCAAATTGCGAATCACAGTTTTTTGTTGCTGCTTAGTTCAAATTAGCTGTTTTCATAAATGCAAAAAAATATAGTGCTGCACCCTGTTGGTAAATCATATAACTTTTTAATGCTTTTCCATATCATAGAACCAACTTTTTGGTTGAAACAGCTGACTATTTTTTTAAATTCCCTTTAAATATGAATACTCATAAGGTTAACATGGGAAATTACAGAGCCACTGGGGCGGAGCCCGAAAGGATTTTTGAGATAAGAATATTCCTATATGTTAATCGGGAATGTTAGCTATCATCATGCCAAATTTCAGCCCAATCCGTCCAGTGGTTTATGCGTGATTGAACTTCAAACACACAAACAAACAAACAAATAAACACACAAACTTTCACATTAGTATGATCACATTCTGCAGATAGACCGAAAACGGAATTAGATAGAACACATGTTATATTACATTTTGTTTCTTTTGACATGCTGAATAACGTGACAAAGTTTGTTCATATGTTTGCAAGACACCCTGTACAACTATATCAATCTCGAGGTAATAAAACGAGTGAAAATACTATGATGTACCGTACGTCCGAAATCAAATCACCGTTGACAGATACCAGGCCGTAATGCTCGTCTAGCATGACGTCACGATAGAAGACGGCAATTACGTATTTTTGCCGTTTGTGATCAGCTGCTTGTTTTAATCTTTTAACGGAAAACAAAAATATAACCTTAATCGTCATTGCCGTCTTCTATCGTGACGTCATGATTGACTAGCATTACGGCCTGTTTTTTTTTAGTGTGGCCTTGCAGATACAGAACGATACAACCGACAATATTGATGAAACGACACAACCGACTTTTTTAAATCGTGCCTTTCTTTTTACTCCAATACCTGTTGTTTAAAATCAATATACCCAGCCATGTTTTGATCATCATCAACATAACACATGGAATAATCAGATAACAACACAAACCAAATAGATTATTTTAAAACGAAAAATCATTCCAACAATGTACTCGGGCAAACTTAGCTAGTTCCAACGAGATTGGTTCTTAAAAGAAATTCCCATTTAATTTCTCAAGACAATGTTGGCCTATCTCTTTAACTAAGAGCTTTTAAGAAACGCTTATCTCTTAATTAACAACTAAGATCGTAATGAGCTTTAGTCGTGAATAGTGAGTATTTATCTTACCAAAATTATTTGCCTTGAAAATTCTTAAGTCAAGAACTAGCTGAATGATTTAGTATAGTTGATGAGAAAATTAAAGCATGATTTCTATTGTGTCCATATTTGAAATTGCGCTATATCTAATGATGGCTACCAAAATTATAATGTTACATAAGGTATCTTTCAAACATTTTTCTTTTAAAATTTGAATGAATATATCCTATTTCCATTACATATATTTTTAATCTTTGTAAAATGTGTACAATGTAGATTTAGCTAATAAATATTTTTTACAGATGTATAGGACTAATGTAATCTCACACATTATTTTAACTGCAGTATTTATGAACCGATGCTTTCTCAGAGTCTGTTTAAAAATGTATTATTTTCATCTTATAATTGCTAGCTACAAAATCTAAAACAGCAGTTTACTTATACTCTTTTGAGGCTGTTTACAATTAATTATTTTGTTTTGATACTAGCTACAAAATCTAATGTTAGCAGTATTGCCCTTTTCAACTTAATATTCAACTTAACTATTTTGTGAAAAATAAATGGTTCTTGATATTAGGATTTCAAATTTTTAACTATTAAAAAATGTGTATTTCTTTTGGGAATTTTGTTTAAGACAGTGATTACCTGCAATACAAATAAACTAGGTATGGGTTCAGGAAATTATTATAGACGCCTTAATGATGTATTCTTATGTCAATAAACTGTTTCAACTAACACAACATGATTGGAGAGCTAGAACATGATTCACTTTTAGCGATTTTCCCATATATGGGGAATAACCTATTATGGTAGGGCCTACCGTAGGTCTTATTGTTTAAGACCTGGGCCCAGGACCGATTTGCTTTTTTGTTTTGAAGTCCCCAGAGGCCAAAAACACCATCAGTTCAAATTCATATAACTTATGTGTGTTTTTAAGTTAACACGATAACTCAAGGAAAAATTATCCAATTTCATGATGAATTTAGTACAAACGTGTAAAGCCTACATTCAGACGAGTTCGCAAACCAGCATGGTCAGACTATGGGAACTGTTTTTAAACTGGTGAAAATGACATTTCCCATTTTTTGTTTTTCCCACCCTAAAAACATAAAATTTTCCAATTTCTTTACAAAACAATTGGCAGAGCTTAAAAACCAAATGCATTAATTTAATTGGAGCGAGATGCGCTTTAAGGTAAAGGAGAAAATTCCAAAAAGCTGTAAATGTTGCTGTTTGAGTACACTATTGTAGTTTGCCTGTTTATGGATATCTATATATATAATACGTGAAGCCGTTTTTTGTTAACGCAACTCCTCCCTTATTTGTGGACCGATTTCAACGTTTAAGGTGTCAACAGATTCGTTTCAATATGTAGTCATTGAATATATACCCTATAGGGTATATATTCAATGATGTAGTTTTGCAATAAGGTTTTAGAAATTTAAAACTCCTACTCTTAAGGGCGTGAGACCCTCTCAATGGTCGGGTTTTCCCCATAAGAAATACATAAGAACAAATTTTAAAACAAAAAACAGCTGTTTATAAAAAGAAAATACATTATTTTTTGGGAGTAAATATTAATGTTTATAATATTGAGTAGGTTAAGGCCAAGTTAACCAGCGTTAATCAGTTTTGTTGGAAGAACAGAAAATGTCTCAAGTTCAAAGAAGAAATATTGAAAACGGGAGGAGACAATTAATAATAAGATTTCTTACGCGTATGCGGACAGTAGAAAAAGAGAGGCCTGGTCTAACAGATACCCATCCAGATACACATTCACTTAGTGAGATGTAGTAATAGAGATCGATGAGTGAGATGAATAATATTTGCCAGTTCTGCTATGCAACTTACTTTGGAAGTGAAAAAAATATACGAAGCACATAGTGTTGTCACGGTGGTAAAGTAAACTTGAAATAATGCATGCAAGAAATGTTTACTTCTGACCCTGCCAGATCGAGATATTTCAAAACATTTAGTAGAAACTATAATAATGCCTCGACTATGATAAGTTCAAGTAGTAAGATTATACCAAATCATGGTGGACCTTTTGCTTTTATTGTAAACTTTGTATTACTTGCTCTACTCCAATTGAGAAAAAACGGAAATGGATTGTTTACTTCTATCGTCAAGTGATTTAGGTCATGTTGCCAGTTTGCTCATTTGCTATTGAAAGTTTTAGTGGCAATATTAGACCAAACATAAGTGAAGGAATCAGTGTTAATGTTTTCAACGATCGAGTGGTTACGGTCAAGTTTATTTTTCTGATTCAGGAGAGGCAAATAATATACGCTGTTCAAAAAGAGAAAATGTAAATTGCTATCCAAATTTTATGGCTACAAGAGTTATCTAACCTATTTCGACAAACGAATCCATACTTTTAAATTTTTGGGACAGGTATTAAGAGAAACTCCACTAAACAACGTGAGACTGACAGACAACACGTTAAAATACGATAACCAACTTCCAATGGTGTTGCTGCTTTAGCCTATTCAAAGCAGATTATGGCTGTCCAATTGGTAACCAAGAGTTTGTGGATAAAAATGGAACACATGAAATGGTTGATATCACCCCAATTTTCAGGATTCTCTACGAAGAAAATTAATTTGACTAGGGGATGTCTCAAATCAAAGAAATAAAATGGCCCAACTTAAATTACTTAACACAGGTTATCAGTAAGGCAACAGTTTTATTCAATTCTCAATGCTGGAAAAACTTTGTTGCAATATGTTAATTTGAACAACTCGACGTTGTAATTACATTTGT